TTTTTTCTATGTATATTGTTCAAAAAGTATAATAACGTTCAATTCATAAACTATATATTGGGCTGGGGAGTTTTCTAATTTTATACACGTGATCGCACACTGTATTTGTCGTTCTGCAACCTTTTTCCCTCTCGCTGTAATATTTGGAGATCTATCCATGTTGAAACACACAGATCCAGCTAATTCATTTTAAGTGCTGGACGCGATACAGTCAGGTGGCTGCGACTGCGCCGCACCTGCAGTTCCTCCCACGGACGGACACGCAGGCTGCCTCCGTGTTCTCGGACACGGCAGTCAGGCTCTTGCACCTCCTCTCCGGCTGTTTCCCCAGACACGCACCTGCTGGATCAGCGTCAACTTCACCAGCTCGCTGAATTGCTCTGTGAAGTAAGACTTCACCTCTCCCGGCAGCATGTCCTTGAAACAGTAACAAGGGTCATCGACGGGTGGTAAAATTTCAAGTGATTTTCACTTTCGTTTTTTTCACATGTTCTGTCGCTGATTCCCCACCCCCACCCCCCAAGCAGTTATTGTTCTAATAACAAAACAGTCAAGCTTTCTGTTATCAACACAACAGTAGAACTTGCTCCTCCTCTTCCATCCCCCCCAGCTCAGGGCGGGCCACCCCCCTCAGGTGCCCATGACGCTCTCCTGTCAAAACAACTCTCCAAAAAAAAGTGGCTTATGTGGGGAAAGAAAAGGAAACAAAACCACCACAGCAGCGTGGGAACGCACACCTCCGGCCGGGCTCCAACCGGCAGCCTCTAGATATATACGAACCCCTCTCCCGGAAGTTACCATAAAGTTTAACAGGAAGTCAGGGCTAGAGAGTTAACAAGGGGCCCAGCTCTGCCCATAGTCCTCCCAGCTCTATGGTCAATCATCTTAAGATGCCAGTTCACTTGTATCGCTCCCGTCTCACTCCCTGCGCCTGTGTCATGCGCATACTGCTTTAGCTCTAAAAACATTTAGTTCGTGCATTTCTCTGCTTGTTTTCCACCTACCTGTGGGACTGACACAGCCTGGCACAAAACAGGTGCTTTGAAGCACATGGAATTGCAAAGTGGACACACCTTTCCCATTATACAAACGGGAAAAAGCTCGAAGAACTTAC